GAAGAGAGGTGGGACAAACCTTGGGTATATAAACCATTGAACCATCACCTCTTCTAAACTATATGCTAGGGTGGGAACCTCGTGCGGTGCACATAAGATTTTTGCACATGCGCGATGCACACAAGATGAATTCACACGCGCGGAGCATGGTGACGTCAATTACAACAAGTCATGAGAGCGGTTCCCTGCTCAGGACCGGCGATTCTACTCTAAAACCGGGCGATTCTCGGTTTTACACAAAAATCGGCATGGGATCACCGATTCCCATGCCGACTTGGGCGAATCCGTTGCAACTCGTCAATTTTTAAACCACTAGTTCAAACAGGGAAAGAACATCTCAATATTCGCAAATTGATGAAAAAAACGAAATGATAATGTAGTTCTTATTGGATTCCTAAAAAACAACATTTATAATGAATTTTAATAATTTTTTTTGGATTTTTTTTAGGGCTTAATCCGACGGATTCGGCCGATTCTTGATCCGGATTGCCGATTCACCGATCAGGGTAGGTTTTTGAGGTGCCCAATCCGGGTCATCGATCTGTTTTTTAAACCACTGCTCCATACTTTTCTAATGATAGTAAAATGCTAGAAATAAACTCTAGGCAATCCACACAAGGGATGAATTCACAACTCATTACTTTTTCTACTCCTATTTTCATTCCTATTCCTTTCTCTATCGATAATTCATTATCTCAAGTGTCTCCTTTTTTAGAGCCTATCTCTCCTCCAATTACTAATGTTCCACTATAGCAACCTCTTAAAGTGTATAGGAGAAGGAAATTAAATGAAGGGCCATCACCACCAACTTAAGCAGCCAACCAATCTTCATCTTTGTATGCAGATCCTCATTCTATTCCTGAACCCACTCTTGAAGTTCAAAGTATTGATCTTCCAATAGCACTTCGTAAAGGTCAGCGATCATGTACAAAGCATCCTATTGCCCATTTTGTTAAATTTGAAAATTGTCTCCCTGTTATAAGAATTTTGCTTTAGCACTTTTTTTCATTTCGATACCTAAATCCTATCAAGAAGCTCTTTTGCATGATGGATGGAAGAAAGCCATGGATGAGGGAATTGTTGCGCTTGAGTCAATGGTACATGAGAGCTCACTGATTCGCCAGCAGGAAAGAGACTGGTTGGATATCATTGGGTATATACCCATTAAATACCAGCCAGATGGATCTGTAGATCAATAGAAGGCTAAACTGGTGGAAATGGGATACACATAGACATTTGCTATTTGATTATTCTAAGACATTTTCTCCTGTGGTCAAACTTAATTCAGTTAGGGTACTTATATATGTGGCAGCAAATAAGGGTTGGTTATTAGAGCAACTTGATGTTAAGAATGCATTCCTCCATTGGAATTTAAAAGAAGTTTATATAGAGCAGCCACTGGGGTTTGCTGCTCGAGGGAGTCAGGCAAGGTATTCAAGTTAAAGAAAGCAATTTATGGCCTAAAGAAGTTACCTCGTCCATGGTTTGAGAAATTCAACTAACTTGTTACGGCATATGGGTTTCAGGGGGAGCCGTGTGGATCATTTAGTATTTATTCGAAAACAAACCCCTGGAACTATTATTTTGGTTGTTTATGTTGATGATATTATCAATATATGCAGTGATCAAGAAGGAATTTAAAAATTGAAGAATTATCTGCAACAATATGTTCATACAAAAGACTTGGGGCAACCGAGATATTTTCTTGGGATTAAAGTAGCTCAATCACAATATGGTATTAGTCTATCCCAAAGGAAACATTTAACTGATTTACTAACAGAAACAGGGATGTTAGGGGCTAAACCGGTTGATACACCCATAGATCCAAGTTCCAAATTTCAGCGGATCAAAAAGACTTACTAGAAGATCCTGGTAGATAGAGAAGACTTGTAGGTAGGCTTATCTCCCTGACAATCACTAAACCAGATCTAGCCTTTGTTGTGAGTGTAATAAGCCAATTTACGCATTCTCCTAGAACACCACATTGGAAGCAATAAGAAGAATTTTGAGATGCTTGAAGGAAGCCCTAGGTCGAGGACTCATCTACAAGAAGCATGGCCATTTTGACATTGAGAGTTATTCTGATTCCAATTGGGCAGGATCACCTTTAGACAAATTTACTACGGGCTACTGCACCTTTGTTAAAGGAAACTTGGTGACTTGGAAAAGCAAGAAACATAATGTAGTGGCCAAATCTAATGTAGAAGCTAAGTATAGAGCTAAAGCTCATACTAAACATGAGTTAACATGGCTGAAAGCCTTGATGCAGAAAATGGGTTTTTCAATTACTAAACCAATGAAGATGTTTTGTGACCATTAGGCAGCCATTCATATTGCGAGCAATTTTGTTTTTCATAAAAGAATAAAACATATTGAAGTGGATTGTCATTTCATTTGTAAGAAAGTGACCAACAAGAAAATAACAACCTCATATGTGAAGTCGTCATATCAATTGGCTGATATACTCACCAAAGCACTTAGTTGTAACTAAACTCACTAGATTCGTTCCAAGCTAGGCATGGGTGACATCTATGCTCTAGCTTGAGGGGGAGTATTAAAGAATAACTTGTTTCATGTATTGGGGTATTTCTATCATTTTTATATACTTTTGGATACTTATTTTCATTGAACGTATTTCTTGTTCTTGTAAACCCTAAACAAACATTATAAATAAAGATATTACTGGGGCATGGGACGACTAAATCTCATGTCACTCTCTCCTCTCTTCTCTTTCATCTTTTCTCTCTTCTCTTTCATATTTTCCTCTTCTTTTCCCTTTCTCTCTAATTTTGACACTTTTTTCTGTTCATCGTATTGTTTATGGCACTATTCATGACACTGTTCACAGTATCCATAAAGTGTAAAGCTCAAAAAGTCAAACACCAAATGTCAACTATTCATCATAAAATTCATCAACATATAAATGAAGACCAGGAAAGGGGCTGGGGTTGTCGTGGTAGCACCCCCACACCCTAGTCAAAACATTATGGCTTCCATTCCCACTAACACTACCCCACGAACACCTTAAAAAAACATATAAATGAAGGTCTAAAAGTGAAATGAGGAAACAAAACCAAACTGTAAAATAAAATAGAGATGCCAATTGTACGAATCATTGTTTCGATAAATGTACATTTACCAGGGGTATTCTTCTAACTTTTTACATATCCATCTCTACATTACCTTAAGGTATATATTCTCCATGCATGTATGAACTAATAGTGGATACAAAGACTAGAGCAAATTTTCAAGCCAAAAAATAAGGCAAAATGGACACCTTCAACAAGCCACTTACTAAAAACCAAGCTAAGTGAATAAGTTACAATCATTTAAATAACAATTACAACTATTTCTAGCCTTATAAAACCACTGTAAATAAACTCAAATACCAACCCCTTATGGGGCAATTACATATAAAGCAAGATTAGCTTATGAATTACACTTTCGTAGCACAAATTACATAAACTATGTCTTAAAACTTAAATACAACATGCAACTAATCTAAACAAAATTCTAAGGAATAAAATCAACTAAACAGGGAATTAGAATACCAAAGTAAAATAAGGAAGTCATGTTTGGAACCCCTTGTGCCGGGGCCACGCAATCGGGCCCTATAAGGACTTAATTTTGTCCCTTCGGATTGTACAAAAGCGGTTCAATCTCACAAGAGTGTTTCATCCAAATGAGAAGAAATTACACACCCTAAAATCACTTTTAAAGATCTCAACACATTGGCATTATCATCCAAAAAAGAATCAAAAGGTTTGAATCGAATTGGATAAAGAACAAGATAGTTATGGCCAAACTACACACAGTGGTCCCTCAGACCACCAAAACAA